AGAAGTGATATACATGCAATTGTTCTCAACACTCACGAACTAACAAACAAACTCCTATTTGTTAAGTGCAGCTTGACAATAATTGCTACTACGAATCATAAAAGAAACGATGGCTTACGCGCTGTTCAAAAAAATATATACCCACCTCAAGTCGCTTGTGCGTAAAGGACTTAAGCAGCATCAATTACAACTGCGACATTTGATATAAAAAAGGTAAAGCTATCCTGTTACGCCTCATGTCGGCGATCAGGGGAGTGGAGGTTTAGCTCCTACTCATTCTCAACCTCGGTACTAGATGAGGGTGAGTGGTCAACATCACACCCTGTCCGCGCTTTATCCTATTTCTCCTTCTTTATCACGCCGTCTCTTTACAGGAGGTTGGCGACACTTTATGAACAGGATCCTTCCATCCTTTCCTTTTCTCGGACTGGGCCCTGTTCATATACGTTCTTGGCAGATGATCCAGCAGTGGTTTGCCATTGCCTTCTTCTGTGTGTGAATGGAGTAATTGTTGGGATGCCACGGAGGAAAACTCCGTGTTGCCTAGACCACGGCCTTGCCCAACACAAGTTATAAATTTGAGCACCACCGGGAATTGAACCAGGGACCCCAGGCTTACAAGGCCAGCGTTCTAACCGCTAGACAACCTTTGAAATAATGAACAGCGAATTTTGTGGTTTTGTTCTGGACTGGCTGCTGGAAGATGGACACAAACTTATCGCAATTGTAACATACTGTCGTCAGAAGCTTTCAGATTGATTTTTAGCTTTCGATAAGAACATTATCAGGTTGTTTGTAGTTCAGTCCCCTTTGTTATCCTGACACCTGATCGATAAGATGAAAAAATGATAAGCTTGCCCCGATCATTATCACATTTAACTTCCCGATGAAAGCAAAACAAGGAACTACATCGTAGCTACGTTTACGGAGGACAGTAATAATAAAATAAATTGTAAATTATCTGTCCTTTCGTTCTGAATCGTCTGCTTTAGCACTCCAACCGCTGCTGACCGCCTGATAGTTCAGTATCAAACTATGCATCTCTCTGTACTGTTAACAGAGAGATTCACTCTAAATCATATTCTACGACGTATTCCCAATTTGCGTGATAATAATTGGCACTGTACGTGTTCGGCTGTAAAAACCATCTCACGTCATTAGTCATACGAAATGCTGTTTCTGTGTTTACAATTGCAAACGTTAATTGACATTACATGTGACAAATTTAACTTTATGGGAACCTGCGCGGATGGATATAATGCACAGAGATTGGTAACTAAATTGTGTTATTATTAATATCCTACAGTAGCAACGGCCGTCAGAGTCGACCGGAATGAAACATTTCTGTGTTGGACAGTAATACCAGTTTATTGTAGCAGAATCTTTGAAAATTCGCGTTTTCAGAGTACAATATTTTATCACATTTCTTTATAAATTAAATTAAATGCATGTTCACGGCGACAAAATCCAGATTCTCGTCCAAACGCACCCGTCTCCAGACTTCGCCAGATCCCACCATACGCGCCGTCATAGCCTCTATCGGTAATTCCTGCCACCAGAGTCGTCAGCGTCAGAACTATTTTCTTTTATATTCCGCATTGCACGTCTTGACGAGACATCGGCTTTTATATCACCAGTAGGTAGACCTTGGTGGCCGTATCATACGAACTGAAACATGTGAATAGACGAAAGTAGTCAAGACGTTTTGTCCGGAGTTCGTAGGCGTCGCAGTTACTGGCAATGATGAAACAGATGATGAACGCTATCATAACGGTACTGGCGACTCTGTTCCGAAATCGACCTTGACAGGATCAACGGCTGTTGGAGATCTCTGGAAATCACCGTGTTCGCTCCGGGTTTCTTAAAGGTCGCGTTAAAATACGGCAAGAACCACGCGTATGTCGCAATGAATACTAAACACCTTGCTCCATGGAACAGGCGAGCAGTCATTATTCTAATCAAGAAATTTTACGCATTTTACGCGACCACCAAGGTTCGAGCACGATTATGAACTAATTGAATAAAAATTTACTTGGATATTATCCATCGTCTAGTAAATATAAAACGTAAAACGACGTTTCGGAGATAGAGCCCCATCTCCGAAACGTCGTTTTACGTTTTTTACGTTTATTACTAGACGATGGATAATATCCAAGTAAATTTTTATTCAATTAGTTCATAATCGTGCTCAATTCTATACTGTAATCCTAAACCAGACTCTTCCATTCCAAAAATGTATATCTTATTTAATCAGGATAAATTTTAATATTATAATCCTATCTGATCTATGTGTTATCTTCCTTTTGGGGGGATTCGGAACGAAAAATTCTTAGTGAATGGAAAAATCTCTCATTTCCCTTGTTTTGGCGAAACATCGGGCAAGAAGTTCATTTGGTATTAATTTTCAGTGTGTTTGCTTTGTTCTTACTCTCAGTAAACGTGACGAAGTTTATAGTCGCCTTTCCTTTGTAATGAAAACACTGAACTCTCACAACAAACTCGTTTGTTTGTTGATAAACAAACGTACTTCATGTTTCTCAATCTGTACGCTCTGTTAAAATCCCATTGCCAGATGTCGATTTCAACAGATAACGGAGGGAACGCAGTCGGTACCTGTCCGATCCTCTGACTCACTGACAGGGCCTTCGTTAACCTCCGATGACAACGCGAAAATATATTTTAAACGCAAACTGTTTTTCCCCGTTGTGAACGTAATTTAATACCGCGTAAGATTCCGTAACCAGTTTTTACTTGCAACGATGACGTCACACAGCCTATACTGACAACTGTAACTAGACACTGATCAAGGTTTCTTGGTTCGAAAAAAAATTCCCCGTTCGTTAATCCATTCATTGTCATGTTCGCAAGATCCCTATCCCGAGCCAGATGAATCCAATCCACGTCGTCACATAATACTTCTTTAAGATACATTTAATATTATCCTCCCATCTACGTCGAGATCTTACGAATGAACTCTCTCTCTCTTCAGGCTTTCCAAATAAAATTTTGTGCTAATTTTAATAATATCTTATGGTGTTTATTACTTGTTCGTAATTTGTAGCATTACGTCTGTCGAAAGGAGGGTTCAGAAAATATTTTTTTGTATCCGAAGGACCCTAGTCGCGGGCTTTTGTGAGAACTGTAATGAATTTCAAGATCTTGTAAGGCGTAAGGAAGATGCCAAAGGAAACCTAGTTCAAGGTATTAAAAACGTGTTCCAACATACGTAATTTTACATCAGCAATTCAACTGTTTATTTCTGTTTAGTACATAAACATATCCGAAATTCGATATATACTTATGAATCAAAGGCGATCCGTTTAAAATCTTCAAACCTTGAAGTTAATAATAGAGCAAGGATAGTTGAACATCATGTTAAGCGTGTCTCTTCGACATCACTTAATTCACTTAAACAGCAATAAAGACGCGAACTGACACTCAAAACGTGAAATTATAAGCGTATTAGAACTGTGCAGATTACTTTATTCAAACATCCCTTAAATAAATTTAAAATCACTGCAAATATTCCAGGAACACAGAAAATATCGCTGTGAGAAATGAATGAATTTTGATCGCCTCGTCACTTAGCCCAAATGAAGAGTGCACTGGCACACGCCCGGCCGACCGCCCGCAGGTCCACGTCGAGCTACCGGGCACACGCAAATAGTAATAAATGTCCACGAATGCGTCCTGTCCCGGAACATACCACATTCTCCGGTCATATCAACCCATTTCGCGTTGCCAAAAGTGCGGTCTCCTCTGAAGAGGTTTCGCGGTCAAAAGCGATGCCTTCGTTTTCTAAGGTTTTAAGAAATAAAATGACGCCCCGTGTAGTGAGACCGAAGTTTCAGACTGTGCGCTTTGCAGAAAGTTATGTATGTCTGTCGTTGATGACCGAGAGTGTCAAACGTAATGTTAACTCGTCTAAAATAATCGTGTAACAACCTTAAACGTGTTTCTCGTTGTACGAGCTGTTTAGAGAATTTTCTTTTCGATTTGGCGATGAATTTCGTCAAGTCAAGGGAAACACGAACGCCTGTTAAAATTTTTCAGTGGGGAAGTTGGTCTCGTCTTTATGAGATCTGTACCTGTCTATCAAAAATTCTGAGGCATTTGCTTCAAACTTTTCTAAGACAGCGAAAATGAAGAGCCTCGAACTAAGACTCGTCTCGCAAAATTAGGATAAACGACGAGATCTTACGAGTTCTTGTTTGTGATTCGTACAATAAAATTTTGGAACCAGACAAAAACCAAACTAAGATATTCACACGATAACCCGAAATCTATGCAGTAGTTTCGGAGATATGTAGATCGAAGTTAACATGCGGACGGACACGGATTTCCTCGTCATACGTATTTAAGTCGAACAAAACACCAGAGACCATCTTCAGGACACCGAGAGTAAACGGGAAGGCTTAGGCCGCGGTGTATCGACCTACATCGTGCGACCGTCCGGACGTGTTGCATCATGTTCACACATCGCGAAATGGCGAGACCTTGAGAACGGTCACTAACACCCGGTAACTCCTAAATCTTTGTTAACTGTTTTTTTTATATAAACTCACCTTCCCACATGAATTGCACAAGAATTGCAGCACGTCATAAGAGTTCAGTGACATCAGGAGAAGACGAAATGAAGATCACTTGTATATTTGTACGTAACACGTCGTTTATAGCGAAGTATTTGATTTAAAAAAAAATAATGTTAACTGTCTGCAGGCGTGAATTTCCAACTTTGACGTAGATTATCGTTGAATCACGGATAAAAATTGAAATATTTCATTCGTAAATCGTTCCTACGTCACAAGAAAATAAGCGAACTTTCACTGAACATGTTCCAACATGTAAGAAACGATTGTCAACTGTTTGCTAGGACCCTTCCTCAGTTTTGATAAAAAAAAATCGCGGACCGTCCCAAAATGACAACAGAATTTATTCAGAAAATTAAGTATTGTTAGTTTATGAGAAAGTAATGTGGTACTGAAGTTACTGTCACTTACTTCGTGGTTCTGGGGCAGGTATCCCAGTGCGATTGTCCGCCCCTCGACTCCTTCTTCGACGGAGAATGATCTGCCGCACAATTTCGTAAAGCTGTTCCAGCAGTTGGTCCATAATCTCGTAATTGTCTTCTGTTTCCTGACGTGTAGGCAGATTAAATGGTATGGCCATGGCTGTCTGCGTTGTCAACGAAGTAATCGGTTTAGAAATTCTCTGTTGTTGATGTCAGGAAATTCGTGCACTGTTTTTCCCCCGGAGGATAACGTCACCTTACGGTGCCTATGAAATGCGACCTCTCTCCTCTGTGTCTGCTACCACATTGAGAGTCTGGCAGAAGTGTGCGTGGCTCGTGCTCGTCTCTTCCCCTCTCACCTCCCCTCTCCCGCCGAGAGACACAGCTCGACAATAGATCACCACGGGCCAATAGGACGACGTCTTACGCCGAGCCTCCACCAATGAAAATTCAGACTGGGCGTTACGAGATCACGCGAGTGTACAGAACTCTGCGTAAAAGAAAGTCAGAGCGGTGCGGGGTGGGGGGTGGAGGCTTCAAAATCTTATGTTTGTAAACACAACACAGGTTACATATGTACATTAATTCGGAAATATTCGTGCGACATCGGGTGTCATCGGCTAAAAACAAAAATTTGTGACTGTGAAGACAACTGTTACGGGGGTTAGGTTAGCTGGCTGGGTGTCTGTCGTAAGGGTTGGTGCTTCATAAGGGATGAAGGTGAGATTTCAGGTTCTCATGGCTGTGAATGTAATGACTCACGGAATGTTGCGCCGCGTAATATGACATAGTAACACCGAGCTTTCAAATGCACTTGATGCTTCCATCATCAGGGTGATGATTAAGTCCTGGACATCGCTAGGCCCGATTATGAAACTTCGGGCTACGGTTCGCCATTGCGGGGGGTTTTCAAGAACAGTTGCTGATAGGGACGAGCAGTGGGGAGGGAGAGGGGGTAAGGGGAAATATGGATGTGGAGGGAGACGTACGTAGATTTACTTGGTTTCGATTTGTTCCTTCGACAAGTAAAAATAGAACATTAGAACATTACCTTAATCTGTTGCATCACTCGATATTATTAACCTCCAGTGCGTTGTTGAACACTATAAATGTGTTTCTTATCCTTTCATCCTCGTTTCATCTTCTGTTCTTATGTTGTACCAAGATTTGAACTCGGGGCCAGCAAGTTCATTGGGCTGATGTCGTACGTACATCGATCTAGGTCATTGCTAATGCCTGTGCCAGTCCAGGTTCGTAGTTCGATTCCCGAACGGGTTGAACCTAGAGATGAGGGGTAAACCAGGCTTTGGCATGTAAATCTGGTTTATATAAACGAATGAGCTGTGATTAGATGGTATTTAGTACGCCTTATTTCACCAAAATTTGATTGATTTTGGCTTGTTAAATGTATTAAATTGGAATAAAGTGGCCATACTCGGACGTTTGAAAGTCTCTCTTCTCGAATTTCCGTCTAGAGGAAGTGTGACATAAACGAAGATTTCGCAATTGTTTAAGTTATTACGCAAAGTACACTTAAGGCATCCCAGACGTGGAAAGAACCCTTTCCAGATATGGAGTGACGATTGCATTAAGACCATCGCCTCACTCCGACTGACCAATAGAATTTGAATACGACTTATAGGCGCGTACCCGCCGTTATGGGAGAACGAATCAGATTGCCGCATTTAATTCAAATTTAATAACAAATTACGTATTGCAGGAGTATTTAAAGAGAGATTGTGATTGGCGGGGCTTTCTCAAGTTTTGGTTCTTCAATCTAGCTGACTTCCCTTGTATTCGTATGTCCATTCTTTGTGCGAATTTGTGAGATGCTTCTTCAAGTCTTGCAGATTTCCACCCCAAGAACAGTTGACTGCAGGCACCTTGAAAATGTCAAAATAATAAGAGCACCTCAGTTGTAGAAAAACATGAGTGTGTGAACTGAAATATCCTCTTGATTGCCCTCACCCCAAAAAAGTTTGTGTCCATTACATAAAAGGGCGGATTTATAACTTGTGTTGGGCAAGGCCGTGGTCTAGGCAATACGGAGTTTTCCTCCGTGGCATCCCAACAATTAGTCCATTCACACACAGAAGAAGGCAATGGCAAACCCCTTCTGGATCATCTGCCAAGAACGTATATGAACAGGTCCCAGTCCGAGAAAAGGATGGAAGGATCCTGTTCATATGGACCTGTCGTCAGACAGAACACTAAATAAATAAAAATAAAATCTAGCTGACACGTTTTATTCAAACGTAAAATTTTACATAAAGAAATAGAGCCGAATCAGTGCGCTACCTTACAATAAGTGTGACTGGATATTATATTCGTTTGCGTGTCTCAAGAGAGAATGAAAGTATACTTCTCCAAGAACATCCCAGTGTCGTCTATCAGTTCCCCAAGACAAGAGATTTCGCTTTGTGCAAAAACTGCTTCAACCATCGGCTTCCCCTTATATTCCCTGGGAGCCGGAGAATCTTGCACGACGGCAACCCCACACCCATCATCAGAATTCCCTTCAATCCCTTTCACACATATCCTAAGCACTAAAAGTTGTAACCGCATGAGTGCCAGGCAAGTCGCTGGGTTTGACTACAATAAACAAACAGCGAGTCGTTACATGTCTCGTGAAGGATGCTGGCCCGCACAGCAGTCGCATTTCGCCGAGACAAAGCTATTAATATTACTTTCAGGATTGCTCATAGTTTAATAAACGTATTCGTGCTAAAAAAAAAGGTTCGATTCTATACCACACAACCTGGCACACGGCCGGAAGGTTGTTTACTGACATCAGCTAATTGACATTAGCAGCTAGTGCGTGAGTGACTTAGCTGTCTCTTGGCATCGCTAAGTAGGAGGATGCAACAATATCATAATTATGAGGACATATCATTGTTAGTAATCAGTGAGTTATTTATTTAGTGTTCTGTCTGACGACAGGTCCATATGAACAGGATCCTTCCATCCTTTTCTCGGCCTGGGACCTGTTCATATACGTTCTTGGCGGATGATCCAGAAGTGGTTTGCCATTGCCTTCTTCTGTGTGTGAATGGAGTAATTGTTGGGATGCCACGGAGGAAAACTCCGTGTTGCCTAGACCACGGCCTTGCCCAACACAAGTTATAAATTCGGGCACAGCCGAGAATCGAACCCGAGACCCCAGGATTACAAGGCCAGCGTTACAGGAAGGTTAGATCGAAGAAAATGATAAACTTTTATGTGGAAATATTTTTATCGAAGAAACATTCAGAGTGTCATGTGACAAAATCTATGTTTTTGTAACAGAAGAAATGAGACAGATATTACTACAAAATATACAGGTCTATGGGCTGACATAATTCTGTTTGTTGTCTTATACTGAGATGATCGGGAATAATTTTCATGAAGCCCGTGTTCATAATAACAAGAAATCAAAGCGTGTTAATTAGAAACGTCGATTGGTTAAGGAAAAGCTCGTTGTGAAATCTTAGAATTATACTAACCACATACGTAAGGACTGGACTTCATACACTCGGTGCATACAGTTATCGCTGTGTTTTGAAAAGATAACAATCTGACACAGAAGTGCCAGTGAATTCCACACACATGAAAACACTGAAAAAGTGTTTTAAAATATGAGCCCGGAAAAGCATTCTAACCGAGTTACAGCCTTAGTTTCCTCTTTCGGAATATCGGATACTGTATCATGCCTTCATTGCATTTTCAAAAAGAATAATAATAATAATAATAATAACATTTTGATGACGTAGGCAATGCGTGAACAGTAATTTATCGAAATTAAAATCCAAAATGATTTTGGGATTCTAAGGCTGTCTGGGACAAAATAAAACGAAGAGCAAACTTCTGTGTTGGCAGTCGTACCCTAATGAGTACCGGAATGAGGGCATTCTTGTGATTTACTGCGGAAACCGATTAGATGTCTCTGATGCCGTGTAACCGAAGGCCAGGATGAACAGGCAAACAATGAAACATGCATCGGCCTACTTGAAACCCTTTCACTACTGCCTGATAAATGTACCTCGAGTGTAAAATGAAAATTCCCATGGAACACTGAGAGCATGTGTGTATTTAATGTGTCATATGACTTGAAGGTCCCTTCCCTTATCTTATCTGCAATGCGCCACCTGTTCAAATAATCAACATACATCCCGTAACACAGATACCCCACACTGGGCCTGTAGCTGATTTAATGGTGCTGTATCTACTGGTGAGATTAAATGACCTGTTAGAGTATTGTCGTCTATTTCAGTTTAACTTACTTCTGTCTGGAAGAATGTGGCGTGCATGGATGGGACAAGGGTGTTCACCGGGTGTTGGTTGGGAAGCCTGAAGGGAAGAGACCGCTGGGGAGACCTAGAAGTAGAGGGGAGGATAATCTCAGGTGAGATCTATGGGAGATAGGAGTTGAAGGAGTCTGGATTTTGTTGGCCCAGGACAGGGTCCGGTGGAGAGCTTTGGTTAATTCGGTGATGAACCTTCGGGATCGGTAAGCCATCTAATTGGTTGGGTCCACTATTTGGGAAGCCTGAGGGGAAGAGACCGCTGGGGAGACCTAGAAGTAGAGGGGAGGATAATCTCAGGTGAGATCTATGGGAGATAGGAGTTGAAGGAGTCTGGATTTTGTTGGCCCAGGACAGGGTCCGGTGGAGAGCTTTGGTTAATTCGGTGATGAACCTTCGGGTTCGGGAAGCCATCTAGTTAGTTAGTTAGTTAGCTGTCTGAAAGTCTGAGCCAGTCCACGAAAATGATCTTGAATAACGTCTCTCCTCATCCTAAAGGATGAACTGAGATTTAAGGTGTCAACAAGCATTCGGGCCTACTATTTTGAGTGATCAAATCAAGGAGGGTTTTATGGGTGGTACACGTAGCACGCATGAGAGAGATGTGAAATGTAAATACAGTTTTGAAGGGAAGTCTCTTGCGAGATCTTTGCTCGGATGGGAGGAAAATATTAGGAAATATATTCGGGTCAGTTGTGGACTGGATTCATCTGGCTCAGGATAGGGATGGCTGGCGGAAATTCGTCTTTCGCCTTCCATAGGAGCAGAGTCCTTGAGAAGCTGATGTAGCCAAGAAGTTTCCCCGTCTATTCCAGGACCCGAAATGTTTATTACAATTACAAAGTGAGACCGTTACTTGTCAATTTTAATATTATCTTTCCATATAGGCCTGCTGACGCCACAGTGGTCTAGCGGTTAGAACGCTGGCCTTGTAATCCTGGGGTCTCGGGTTCGATTCCCGGCGGTGCCCGGATTTATAACTTGTGTTGGGCAAGGCCGTGGTCTAGGCAACACGGAGTTTTCCTCCGGGGGCTTCCCCGGTTTCTCCGTGGCATCC